CCTTATCCTTGATTTGTGCCTACCAGGCCCTGCCCATGCTGCAGCCTGGGACACTGAGCACAGCACAGATGCTACTGGTCTCAGCTGGGACTCTTCTCCATGTCCGAGGCTAGAACAAGAAAGGAGCCCGCCAGCACAGAACAGAAGTTGGGGTGGGGTAGGGGCTGAAAAAAAAGCCAGGAATAGTATGAGGCTGGGTGTTGTTGTTGTTGTTTTATATTTTGGAGGCAATTCAAAAGTACTTCCGCTGATTGATCATTAATCTGGTGAGTTATTACTCTTCTAAGCAAAGGTCACCGGGAGAAAGAGGTCTAATCTGTCAAAGGAAGACACCGCGCACTCGGTTCCAGTTTGATTTCTTAGCCAGGTTGGGCTTCTGTTTGGAGCTTTTTTTTTTAATGAGTGTATAAATATAGTGGGGTAGGGAGGAGAGAAGCAGGGAAACCTGTTCCCGAGCTCTGTAAGCCTCCCTTCCGCCCCCATGCACACCCCGCTCCTCACAATGGGCTGACTCCCCTTCTCCTCCTGCTTAGGGGGGCTGGTTGGGCTCCCCAGCAAGCATGGGGACACCCGATCTGTTCGAAAAGGTTGCCGAGAGGGAATAGCTACCAGGCTCCGGCAGGCTTTTATCTATATTTAAACGGGAAATGTGTCCATGAACCCCTAATATGGTGACTAATTTGAGAATACCCATAAGTCACCGCTAATCGCTTTTAATAATGATACATAATGCATGAGCCTATTGTTAGAAGTTGGCGGGGGGGGGAGGGCTCGCTTTGGAAGGAAGGGGGGGAGGAGGGGGCCTGCTCCTTCATTTGAATCATAATCACCCCCAAATCCAGGGTGCGTTGTGGGGCTCCCCTTTCTGCTGGTTTCCCTGGAAAATCTCCTCGGATCCTTGCTATATTTTATTTCCGTTTTGCTTCCATCTCTCCCTGCCTCGTGTAATTCACTCCCAAGAACTGCTACTTTCCGCCTATCTCCACCTCCTTTTGTTCAGCCCCCTCTTTTTTTTTCCCCAAGACCAAATGGGGGTGGAACTTTTATAGAGACATATTTCGTTTGCTGGGTTCATACCACATAAAGGGTTGGCTTTAAAAAAATCCTTATTTATAATCTACAGAGGGAATTAAATACCCAAGCTACTCGGGTAAGGCTGTGATGTAAGTGGAATATTGCCAATGTTGTGTATTAAGTGTGTGCGCGTATAATAATAATGATAATAATAAAAAATTATAGCTATGGGCCTCAGACTAGAGAGAGGGGTCAGGGAAGACTCAGTATGTGATTTATGTTCAGGGATTGTTGTCACAAGCAGAGTAGGGGTGTGAGGGGAACATTTTTATTTGAGATTAATAACATCAACATCCAGAACGGAAACAAGATTATTAAAGCGACGGAATGTTTCCCAAAACGAAAATATTTTTAAATGAGATTTCCCCCCTCTTTCTTTTTTTCTGAACAAAATCGTGCCAAAGTTTCCGGGATAAATCTCTACGTAGCTTTCAAAATGTTTGTGCTGGTACCCTTTAATTCTTTTGATACAATAACCTTTGTGTGTGACTGTTGCCTACCTATCGTATAAGACTTTTTTTTTTTTAAATGAGGATCATTCCATATTGGTGGCATATTGGATAAAGGGGGAAAGCTGTGCTGTGAATACTTGAGATTTCATTGCTTTCCATTAAAAATCGCCTGGCAATTTCCCTACTGCTTTATTCTTGCCCTATCTAGAACTAATTAACTGGATACCTTTCCTTTTTAAAATGCATGTAACAGAGGAATGGCCAACTGAGTATAACCAAGCTAACAAAAGAAGTAATAACTGGATAGCAAAACGGCTCGTGATCATTTTTTTAAATTCATACCAGAATTCACCAACCCCAAAACAGTTTACATTTCAAAGCAGACAATTTCTATTGATAACGATTCCAGCTCCCGCCTTGAAAAAACACCTTTGATCAATGATTTCCTCCAACATCGGCTTCCCCTGAAGAAGCTGCAACGAAATGTGCATACACGTGTATTAAATTGAAACGACAAAGCTTGCTAACATAACCTCAACTCTCCTCTTTAATGGTAGCTCTGATCCTGCATACATACATACATGCATGTGTGTGTGTGTATATGTGTGCGTGTGGATATATATGTACACACACGTTATAGCTGTATCATATAGAATACACACACACACACACGCGCGCACATACACACACACACACAGACACGCACACATATATTACAACTTTCTGAAAGTATGAACATCTCTGCTAAAAGCTTGCCTGGGCTACCTGGGTGAGATCTCATCTCAGCTAGAGTGAATGACTTGGTTTGGGTACATAAAAAGGGATTTTGTTGCATGTCCAGGCAAGGAGTTCTCTGCCTAGGGAGTTTGATTGTCCACTCTGCTGAGACCAAAGTTTCTCCATTTTATTTTTTTATTTTTTTGCAGTTCCCTTTCTTTCTCAGACTCCTCCTCTGCCTCACATCTGCTGGACCAGACAACCGAGAATTGGTGAGTTGCATTAAATATCCTACTTGGTCATTAAAATATATAGATATTTAAACTAAGAACCTGCCAGCTCTTCAAGACACTCCATCGTACGTTTCCATCACTCTTAGAAAGAACAATATGGCCCTTACTTTTCAGCTAAGTGTTCTCCCTTTTGTTGCTGGCCTTTCATAAAACTTTGCAGTTTCTCCTTAGAAGTTTGGGTGGGCACCTTAAGTGGAAAATATTTCCTCCCTTCCCTTGAAAGGGAAGTCGAGAATAATCAGGACTGCAAAATGTGATGCAGACCTTGCGGTGAATCTAACAGGGCTACTTTTAAAAGCAAAGCAACCTGTCTTCCAAAGCCTGGTCGGAAACGCAATATGGACCCAAATAACCCCTTGCAGGAAATTCAATTTAGAGAAATGTATTCATCTTCTCTGTTATGGTGGGTTCCCCGCCCTACAATAACCCAAAGTTTGTACTGCAGAAGAGTTATTTTCAGAATCCGTGGCACTGCTGACATTCCAGATACTCGATCATAAGCCACTGAGGTCTGTGAGGACTCTAATGAGTAGTTTTATTTATAGGGGTCTTTAAAAAAAATAATAGTAGCCCAGGTCTTGTATTCTCCACGGCCATTCTGCAGCGCTGGTGTTCCTAAATAGGAAGTGTCTTGTAGCTCAAGATGTATGTTGTAGTGATGCATAAGAAGTCGGCTGGGAGGGGGGACACACCATATCTCAGTGGAGAGCGAGCTGATCACTCCGTGCCAGCGTGGAAACCTCACTCGGAAAGTCCCAACAATATGTGGAAACACGGTATCCCTTTGGGTAGCCGACTGCCAACACCTTGAGAGCCGCCCGCAGCCCCCGAGGCAAAACCCGGTCTTGATTGAGATTCACCTTTGTGGAAGGCCTGCTCCTCCAAAAGTCCCCCAGAGTCCTGCAAAACTCCAGCGCCGGACACACCTTCCCAGCGAGGTCCGACCCGTCTTTGTGCTTGCGCCTTTCCTTCGCTTGCTAAATATAAGTTCCTCAGTCAGCACTTCGCCCACTTGGCCAGCATTAAAAAAAAAAAGGGGGGGGGGGTAATTTCAAACTGGAACAATGGTAGTACTTCCAAAACAGAGAGAGAAAATGTGCAGACACCTAAATTCTTTGCCCGCTTCTTCCTCCCACTCCTTTCGAGGCTTCTTCTGCTTCTGAACCTCCAGGAAAATGCATCTTGGAAAGTTTCTGTTTACAGCAGCAGTGTGCGCGCTCGAGGAGTCATAAATCTTGTGGGGCGACAACAGCAGCGCCTTGCATAATAATAATAATATTAATAAAAAGCCTGATTGTCCAACACCTCCCTGACCTTGCCTTTCCTAAGTGATTTCACTCCCTTCCTTCCCCCCCTTTAGAAGTGCAAATGCCATACACATACACCCAGCACCACCACCCTACAGTAGATGGGGGGGGAGGGGGGGGGTTGCAACCAGCCAGAGCACTTTGACACACAAACTTCATATTAAAGTAACCCAAGGCTGCAGGCTGGGAGTTGCATCAACACAAGAAATTTTTACCATCACCTTGTCTCCTTCCCCCACCACCCCACCCCTACAGCTCTCCATTCCCTATTTAAAATACATATATGGAATCG